GGGGCCGCGCTGGGTCCCCCCCCGTGCCCGCTCCCGAGCCTGGGCAGCTCGTCCCGCATCCGCGGCGCGCCGGGTCCGGTTCCCTGCTGGAGCCGGGCAGCCCGCCCTGCCTGCTGCCCCCCTCCCGCCGCCGGCTAGCTCGGCCCGGACCCCCGGCTGCCCCTCGGCCGCCCCGCTCCATTCACGGCTCTTTTTGTGTCTCCCACAGCAAAATGTTCATCGGGGGACTGAGCTGGCAAACCACGCAAGGTGAGGCCCGCCGGGCAGGGGCCGCTCCCCGCGGGCCGCGGCCGAACTCCGGACCGGGCACCTGCCACCCAAACTTTCCCAACTCCCCGGGCGGAGCGGGGTCGGGGCTCTGCCCGGCTCGGCTCGGCCCGGCCCGGCCCGGGGCTGTTGTTCCCGGGGGGACCCCGCTCTGTAAGGCTCCCTCGATGTCTCTTCCTGGGGGGCGGACAGCCGCGGCCGCCCCCGAACTCGTGTGTGTGTGTGTGTGGGCGCGTCGCTGTTCGCCACCAGGGGTCGGCTCGGGATCTGGGGCGCTTTCTCCGTGGGCCGGGCGGCGCGGTGGGGAGGGAGCCCCGGGGGGCAGGCGCTGGGTAGGGGCCCATGGCCTTGTGTTCTGGTTGCAGAGGGCTTGAGAGAATACTTCAGCCAGTTCGGGGAGGTGAAGGAGTGTCTGGTGATGCGGGACCCGCTGACAAAGAGATCCAGGTGAGAAGACCGGCCCCTGCTCCTCCTTTGCTCCTCGCCAGAGCCGGGCCCGACTTTAACCAACTTTCTCTCTTTTTCCTTCTTCCCCCCCATCTCCCGCCTGGGATTCGGGGTTCAGGGGGTTCGGGTTTGTCACATTCATGGACCAGGCCGGTGTGGACAAGGTTCTGGCCCAATCCAGACATGAACTGGACTCCAAGACGGTGAGGTTTCTTCTCCCATCTAAGGGGGTTCATTTGTCAACTGAGCCTCAGTGCTGAGAACACTGATTGATTGTGGTGTTTGATTCCCAATGAGGGGTTATAAACTATTGATTACTGATAAAGAATTATCCCACCCTTCTGCATCCTGGTGATGGTTTGTTAACTGGCGGCTCTTCTGAGCTATGGATGACCAAGTATGGATTGGTTTGTGAATGTTGGAGTGTTGATTATGAATCTCAGATTATGATTTTTCCATTCTGCCTACTGATTGCAAGATCCCTTTTGAGAAACTGATTGTGGCACTTTGTGAGTTGAAAAGACTGAATACATTCAGGACTGCACAAGAAAAAGTGTGTCCATGTGAAACTAACAGTGTCTATGGGGGCAACTGACCCCTAAGTGAAGAGGACATACAGAGCTTCACACTCTCATGTGATGCCCTCTCTTAGTCCCTTATGGAAATACAGCACCCCACAGCCTTTGGTAGGCTTTTCTTGTCTCTTGCGTGCACCAGTCACCTTCTATTTTGCCATAGGTGTAACCCCTCCATGATGGGCGGTTGACCCTTACAAAGAGCTAGGCCTGTTCTCTCTGGTGATGCTATAGACCAGTGGTTCTCAAATTTTTGTATTGGTGACCCCTGAGTGCGACCCCCTTTATAAATCAAAAATGCATTTTGTAAAAAATATTTAATACTATTATAAATGCTGTAGGTGAAGCAGGGTTTTGGGGTGGAGGCTGACAGCTTGCAACCTACCATGTAAAAACCTTGAAACTCCTTGAGGAGTCATGACCCCCAGTTTGAGAACCCCTGTTATAGACCCATATCCCTTTGTGTTGAGGAGTTGTTGCCTCATGCTCTCTTATGGCTTCCCCAGGATACAAATTTGCAATAGCCATGAATTCCTGAAGTTTATTGTCTCCTGGTGTGCTTAGAAGGTGCCTTTGTGGGCCATCTTCTGCTTTTTGAGATATCAGTGGTGCCTCCATCCCCCAGGGTGGTGCATCAGTTCTTGCAATTACAGGCTGTTCTAGCCACTTTGTGAACTTGTAGATAGTTTTTTGTAGAGTCATTGGGTCTCTTAACATAGACTGTCAGTTCCTGCATTGCAAGCCCTTGGCATCAGGGAGATATGTAGGATCTGTGTTTTGGGACTGGGTTGTAGAGATCTTTTGTCTGAGTAGTTTTAGTGACTTTTGTGCTGTCAAATTCCTCTTTCTTAATACTGCCCCAGAGGTGGGGATACAAGTGGTGGGGGCACATGGAGGAAAAAAAGAAGTTCCCGTTCCAGCCATGAACTAATGAAAAGTCCACATGTGTAACTTGAAGTCTAGTGAGGCAGTTCAGGCATCAAATTCTTTATCTGAGTTGAATAGAGAGAGCGGGAGAGAGAGACCCCTTTCTTGAGGCTTACAGCATGAGCTGCGGTGAGATTTATGTCTGTTCCTGTTTAACTGCATGGATCGTTCCCTTTGATGTATACAGGACCTTCCTCCCCATGGGAGCTTCTGGTTAAACCTATTCCAGCCGCCTTTGCAGCGTGCAGATTGCCAGGAGTCTTAAAAACCTCGTCCTCTCGTGAGAGTGGTGCAAAGTTAGTTTTGCTTTGCGGAGAGAATTATGATGAAATGTTTTGGGGTGGGGGCAGGCTTGTTTTATTTTATAGTCCATGTAAATGTGGGGTCTGATGGTGAATCTGTGGGACTGGCCTAGCTCACTCTTGAAAAGGTGAGTGATGGATGTTGATGGTGGCAGCAATCCCAAGAGTATTTCTGGGACAGAAGTGAGATGCAATCTATGGTCTCCATTCTTACCTGTCTAAACCAATGCTGCTTCTGGTCTTAAAGCAATTCTGCAATCCTCTGGCTGGGCCCAGGAAGGGGAGGGGATGGGGAATGGGTAAGTGTGCTAAAGGAGAAGAGAAGGGACTTGTGGTGTAAAGAACATGTGGGTCTGGCCAGCCATTGAAATTCTCTGATGCATCTGGCTTGCTGATTGTATGTTGTGGAAACAAGAAGAATGGTGGCAGTTTCTCTAGAGTCCTTTCTTTGTCAGGAACTTTGATTTTTTTTAATTGTATTATTATTATTTATTTTTAAAGTTTAAATCTGGGCTGAATGTTTTGGGGTATGTTGCCTGGTAATTGCTGGATTAGGATCTAAAACTGATCTATATGTGCAGTTCAGTGGCTCTCAATTCCCTTAAAACATGCTGATTTTGTAGCCCTGTGTGGAGCCTTAGATGTGTGGATTTTTTTGTTTTTGTCCCCCCCCCCCCTTTAGTTGAAAGTCTCTGCTGTTAGTCATGGACTAAATGTTACCAACTCATCTGAATCCTAACTTAGGCTTTTATAAAACCTTGTAGGAAAAGGCCCAGTGTCCTGAAACTACACCCTGCTTGGTGTCTCCTGGTAAACAGCACTTGGTAGATAATGTCTGCCCAACTTGTTGCTTCATTGTTTTCTGATTCTTCCTATTGTAATTAATGTTGTTGGCCTGATTCTCTGGAGGAAACCTTGTGCCTTTCAGACGTCTCTTTGTTTGTAAGCTAGATAGCAGTCTACAGGGGTTATTTATGGAAATGCTTGATATGAGAGTTGGCTTTGCCGTCTCAAGGTAAAAGATTTGCGTGCCTTTGTAAAGCTGCAGCGGGCTGCTGCCTTCAGTTTCTGTATGTGCCCTAGAAACAGTGATGTGTTTGAGGTTTTCTTGCTTTTGCTGTTTTTATTTGTGTGTGTGAAAGGGGTGCTGTAGGCATTTTCAGATTCACTATTAACTGGCACTAGAGAGATGACCGTTGTGCTTTTTTGAATCACTTCAGATCCCAGCTAATGGATAATGATGTCAGCAAGTTAAATGTAGTTATATGAGCTTACATGGGAATTAAACAGTGTTACGTGGCCTGAAAAGTGGTAATGAAGGGCCCAGTTGTGTTTACACTTGTGAGGTCAGTGGGATTCCATGGATATAACCATGGGCACAATTTGTCCCTAAAGGTTAGTAACTTGAAATGAAATGACAAGTACTTAAATAACACCCCCAACCACTGTCTGATACTGGTTAAATTTTTTAGGACATTATCTGAGGAACTCTGAATTCCTTGTGTACAAATCTTTTTATCACATCCATAACTGACACAGAAGTAAAACTCTACCAGATTATTGGCTTTAATACCAGGGATACAGAAAGAGATCACCACCACTTCTCCTTTAATTATGAAAATTCCTGCACTTGAGGAATAGTCCCCTTTTAGTACCTTGAGTCTTGTATTGAACGCTCTCTCTTCTGTGCACCTTCAGTTGCGCGTCTGCAGTTGGTTGGTCAGGCCTCGGTTTACCAGCAACAATAGCTAGTTGTGCAGAAGAATTTGTGAAATTACTGCCTGCCCCTTCTAGCCAGGTGGATATGTTATCTCTACCCAGTTTATCACACTCAGGGTAATGAAAAAATGAGGCCTGGGCTTAACTTTGCTGTGTATGAAAGCATCTTCTTGGCAGGAGCTGAATGACACTGGCTGAGAACTAAAAGACAGTAGATTATTGTTTTTGCTTATTATCTGCCATCAGCCTCTTGGTCTCCTGCCGTCCTCTGTACTCAGAATTCACTGAGGATTTCTGCACTAGCCAGGAAGCCAGAGGATTGGAGTGGGAGGAAGGGGGAGGAGAAGGGAAAGGTGCTCAGATGTCCCTATGAGGCACCAAGAGGGTATGTTGCTCTCTGTGTTTGGCAGTCATAAGGGGAGGTTTATTTATGTTCTTCACTTTTGCCTCTGTTTACTTACACGCTGAGTTTATTTATGTTCTAGGTTGTGAATCAGGATGGAGGTGGGAAGGCAGAGGGGAGTGATCTGAAGAGGTACTGAGCTTTGGGTTCTGTATGATAAATGAAAGGATGAACGAAGGGAGAAAAGCCAGGCTGGAAAGTAGAACAATAGCAGTGAGAGGAGCTGGAGAGCTGCCGTTTCCTTGCGGGCTGTTTGAGCTGCTGGGCTAATGGGACAAACTTCTCAACTTCTCTCCCAGCTACAGCCTTTCCAACTGTGGGCTGAAAGACCCTCTTTTAGCACAGGGCTCTCTAAGCTGATTTGTAGATTTGGATCATTTCTAATGTAAAGGTGACATCACAAGAGTTGCTGTATCTGTGTGTATGAATCTGTGTGTGTGTGTGTGTGTGTGTGTGTGTGTGTGTGTGTATATATATATATATATATACACACACACACACACACACACACACACACACACACACACACTATATATATATATT